CGCTCGCCGCGGCGGCCTCTCCGTGCGCGACGGGTTCGCGGGGGCTCCGCGCGTGCTGGCAGCGCGGGGTGCCGCTCCAGGGGCCAGGAGCGGGTCCCGTTTGCAGCGGCGTGAGCAGGTCCTGGGCGCGTGTGTCTCTGTAGCCGCTGTCCTTGTGTTTGTTGCTGGGTTTGTGCTTCTTGGAAGTGCTGGTTATTTGTGCTGATGTGTGAACAGACCAGTTGAGCAGGCTGGTCACGGCATAGCAAATCAGGTGGGATCCCCTTATGTACAAACCAATATCACTATCCAAAATATTGATCTGATATCTCCTCCAGGTGTGAGCCTAGGCCTTCCTGTGAGGTAGCCCCATGGAAGGCTGGCGCAAGGATCAGCCAGCTCCTGTGCCGGTCTGAGGCCCTGGTGAGGAGTCTAGAGGTAGTTTTCCACAGGGAGTTGCAGCGGCTCCGAGGGACTGGCTGGGTGCCAGAAGGTGTCGTAAGCAGCTGGAATATGGGGGAAATAAAGGAGCTGGGAGCTTCCGGCTGCTCCGAGAGAGCCTGGCCTTGCTTCGCAGCCCCAGCTCTCCAGCCCTGCTCCACCTCTGATCTGGCTGTCTGAGAGCGTTGTTGGTACCGGGGTTGTTGCGTGGCTGTTTGAGAGCGTTATTGTTACGGGGGTGGTGGTTCTGCTGCTTGCAGTTCACTAGCACGTTCTCTAAGGAGAGAGAGAAGCCAAATGCGATTTTGCTGACTGAAGTGACCGAGGGAGGACTTGGCTGTGATAGCTGTTGTAGATGGCATCTTGAGGCACAGGTAGGGAAGTGTGGCCCTGTCTTCTAACAACACTGTTTATTGCCTATTGCAGGATATTTCTTACTGCTACTGGCTGTTTGTGAAATCTGTTTTGTTTTGTTTTGTTTTGTTTTTTTCCAAGCTGGTTTTGTGGAAATCGAAGGCTGGGTACCAAGGTATCATCTAGCTCAACTTCTTGAGAGCAGGCATAACCATGCTCTTCTAGAGTGCTACTGATGGATGTTTTCTGCAATGTTCTTAAAATCTTGTGCCTTCTTGTGTTCAAACGAGTGGCTGGTATCACTTGTCTGGATTAAATAGGCACAGATTTTAAAGTTATAATTTAGGATATGTTTTCCAACGTTGCTCCTATTCATGGATTAGCCCCAGACTTTGAACCTCTTGAATTCTTGTTTTTTTTTTTTTTTTTTTCCTGAAGTATCTGAAGGAATGAAGCTGTTTTCTCACTTTGGTGGAAAATGTTTTGCTGTTTCTGTGGTTGAGGCTCTGTCAGACTAGAAATACCCAGGGATTGTGTGTTCCTTGTAGACCTTGTTGAGTTGTAAGGGAGAAAATGGAATGGTGGGTGCCATAAGTCCAGTTGTTTGTATGTGATTAGGTTCAGGAACAACAGAGCTGTTAATTTGAAGAATTAGTTGCTTCTGGGTAGAACAGTGCTGTCTTTCTGGTGCTGTTCACAGCTCCAGGTGCTAATGACTGTCTGCTCTTCTCCCACAGAAAGCGTTGATCATGTTGGGCTCTGGGTTCAAGGCTGAGCGCTTGCGAGTCAACCTGCGCCTTGTTATCAATCGCCTCAAGCTGCTGGAGAAGAAAAAGAGTGAGTATTTCTGGGGATAGGTGTGAGTCAGGCTGGTTTGGGGGCTTGAGAGACTCTGGAGGAGACTTTTCTGGGGTTGCAGGAGCCTTTTGCTCTTCCTTTCCTGTTCCCGGAGCCAGGGCTTGCAGTCTCCCTGGAGCGTGGCACCTGCGGGAGCAGCCTGGCTGTGATGGGCTTGCGCCGCCCTCCCAAGAGCTGCTGGAGAGCAAAGCTCCACAAAGCCAAGTGTAGAGCAGCCTTTTGCTCTTCCTTTCCTGTTCCTGGAGCCAGGGCTTGCAGTCTCCCCTGGAGTGCGGCACCTGCGCGAGCAGCCTGGCTGTGATGGGCTTGCACCGCCCTCCCAAGAGCTGCTGGAGAGCAGCTGAGAACCTGTGTGGGGTGGCAGATGGGGACTCTGTGGAGGGATGGCCTAGTTTGCCCGCTGGGTCCTTCCCTGGCCTTTCAGTGCCACCACGCTGCGAGGAGCTTGCTGCGTGATGAGGAAGGCCCTGCCCACCCTGCGTGTGCTGTCCTGCTCCGACGCACAGCAGAGATTACCCTGGCTCTGCAGTAGGGTGGAAGGCACAGGAGCAGTCCTGGCAGCTAAAGGGCCGTTCCCGTTTAGCTGGTGGGCTAGTGTGCTAGGAGCAAGACACAAGGGCTCCACAGAGCTGTGGCCAAGTGTCTCGTGCCACAGAGACTTGGTGAAGGAGAGAGAAGTTGACAATGGATTTATGTGTGTGGGGATGGAGGCAGCAGCCCTGCCAGCATGGTGACCAGCCCTGGGGGTTTGTGCTGTAGCGGAGTTGGCCCAGAAGGCGAGGAAGGAGATTGCAGATTATCTGGCAGCTGGGAAAGATGAGCGCGCCAGGATTCGTGTGGAGCACATCATCCGAGAAGATTACCTGGTGGAGGCCATGGAGATCCTGGAGCTGTACTGCGATCTGCTGCTCGCCCGCTTTGGCTTGATCCAGTCCATGAAGTAAGCTCCAGCCCAGGGCTGCGCTGTGGCAGCGGGGCCAGGGCCACTGGGCTCAGGGACGGGAGGTGCTGGGGACAGGCCTGAGATACAGAAGGGCACCTGTGTTTCACACAGTGTCTCAAGGCCTCACGAGGCCTTTTTTCTTCCTCTGCAAGGGGACTTTCAGGCTGAGCAGCTTGAGGGCTGCCCAGAGTAGGTGCTTGGTATGGATGGGATTGTCTTGTTGGTTCTTAGGGAGCTGGACTCCGGCCTGGCAGAAGCCGTGTCTACGCTGATATGGGCTGCCCCGCGGCTCCAGTCGGAAGTGGCCGAGTTGAAGATTGTGAGTAGGGCTGTTTGAGGGGCTTTCGTGTGCAGGGCGGGATAGAGGTGGCACTGCTAGGAGGTGGAGGAAGCTGTTGTCCAGGGTGTTGCTGAGGCAAAGGGAGTATCTTCCTGGACTCTGCAGCATGGGTGCCACTTCCACGAGGAGCCCTGGAGCCTCAGGGGTGGCTGTGGCCGCTCCGCTGGAGCGCTCGTCGCAGAAGCAAGGCAGGATGTGTGGGGGAGGCCGCCAGCATCGCGGCACGTGTGGGGAGCGTGGTGGGGAGAACAAGGGTGTGCGATTCCTCAGAGTTTCTCTCCTGCTGCAGGTTGCTGACCAGCTGTGTGCCAAGTACAGCAAGGAATATGGGAAGCTGTGCCGGACAAACCAGATCGGGACAGTCAATGACAGGGTAACAAACTGGTGGAGCAGGTGCAGTTGGCAGCCCAGGCTTTCTTGCTGCAGCTTTCTGACCTTTGTCCTGTGGCTCTGCAGAGCGGGATGGACTGTCTGTCCTGCCGAGGGCCTGCGTGCCTTAGAGCCCAGGAGCGTGGCACGAGCAGGGCCCTGCTGTGCTCTGTGGGTGCAGAGGAGCAGGGCGCGCAGACCCCTGTCCTCTGGGTGCCAACGGCCTGCCCTGTGGCAGCAGTGGCTGCAGGAAAGGTCTCCCCAAGGCTGCACTCTGCTTCCTGCAAGCGAGACAGAGCTCTGCTGTGCTGCGCTGCCCGGGGCCTGCTCAGTGTCCCGACACCTTTGTATTTGCAGCTGATGCACAAGCTGAGTGTAGAGGCACCACCCAAGATCCTGGTGGAGAGATACCTCATTGAGATTGCCAAGAACTACAACGTACCCTACGAGCCCGACTCGGTGGTGATGGTGGGTGAGATGTGTGTGAGTGTGGAACTCCCTTGGTATTCCAGCAGCTCGGAGTGTCTCATTTGCACTGTGTTGGCTTTCAGGGGGTTGTGCCATTGCAGCAAGCTCTGGTAGTTGTGCTTTGGTATCTTCTAGACAGCTGTAATGTAGCAGGTTCCCTCCTCCTCTCCACAGCCCCTAGGGCAAATGGCTGCAGCGAATCTTGCTGTAGTCTTGGCCCCTTTGTGATTCCCACGAGCATTGCTCTTGTCATTGCTCTCTGTTTTGCCCTTGTTGCTTTGACTCATCTTTTCTAGTGACAAATGCTGCATCTGATCCTAATCAGAGAATTGCGATCAGAATAGTGATGTGTCGGTGAGCAGAGCTCTTCCTCCTTTCCCCAGGCTGAAGCCCCTGCAGGTGGAGAGGCAGATCTGATCGACGTGGGATTCACAGATGATGTGAAGAAAGGTGGCCCTGGAGGGGGAGGTGGTGGATTTACAGCCCCGCTGGTTGGTCACGATGGAATAATGCCCATGCCAATGCCAATGCCCATGCCCATGCCATCACCAAACCCACCGTTCTCTTATCCGCCCTCAAAGGCACCAGTAAGTGCCCGTGCTTTGAGCATTCACTTTTCTGGGGGAGACTCTACCTGTAATGCTTAGTCCTGTGCTTGCTTTTGGGGAAATGTCTGTATTTCGTATCATGGTGTGTCAGAAGGCTGCCTCATTACTGTGAGGCTACGTGGGGTGGGAATTGTTGTCAATGCAGCTGAAGTTTCCTGTTGTTTCTAGTCTAGTTTTTAGTGAAAACTTCTACTCCTGTTCTCCTTCCCTCTCCCTTGGAACAGGGGAGTCCAGATTTGACTCCTGAGGCAGTCCTCTGCTGATTATCAGGAGAAAAGCAAGGGGCAAAAACAAGAACGCTCTGTCTTCAGACCCGTGAGGGAAGGGACCAGGCCAATGGCCCTTGGAGATCATTCCTTGTAAGGGTGGAAGGTGGGACGGGGAAGAGCACCTTTTTACAGGCCCTTGGCTGGATTCTGTACTTTACAGTTATCTGACTGGAGAGTGGCAAGATAGTGGAATGATGTCTTAATGTGGTCCTTGCAATGCTGCAGTGTTTTTCACAGAAAATCTGGGCCAGGTATTATCAACTGTCTGAAGTCCCAGCATAAATATGCTGAAGACTCTCTCCAGGTCTAGGTCTTTGAGGCACAGTTGACTTACAGACAAGGGTAAGACAAAGCCTTGAGTGACCTGGAGAGACTGTCTCCCTGTTTTGTGATGGTAGCTCAGGAATTCTCAAGGCAGAGTGTTTTCCCTTTGCCCTGGTACTTTTAGTACTTTAAAAGATGGACTGTTCAGTCACGCTGGTTCTTCAGAATAGCCTCTTAGATGGGTCTGGTCCAGGTGACTACATCTGACCAATATGTATGTTTTTTTTTTCCATAGTATGTAAATAACATTGGATACTTGTCTGCATGTATCTTACCTGCTATCTCTCTGCCTCCTGTAGCAGCTGCAGGACTGATTTGCCTGGGGAGCGTGAGTTGTGCATCACAACTTAACGTGTTTTTCTTTACAGGAGAACTTCAATGGCATACCAGTGGGGACTTACCAGCCTTTTGCTAACATTCATCCACCACCAATTCCATCAAACCCACCAACGTATGAGTCTGTAAGTGCCTGAGGTGAATCAACCTTGTAGGTAACAGAGAGAACCTCTGAAAGAGTGGTAGTGGTAGACGTGGGGAAGGCAAATGTTCATTAAGCACATTGCTCTCAACTCTTGTCGCTGGAACGGGTGGTGGTTGGCATTGATTTTAGGTCTGATGAATCACTGAGTGTGTGTGAGGGGGAAGTTCCTCATTCAGCTGAATGCTTTGGTTCCAGAAGAAAGCCAAAACTTGTTTTATTGCAATGCTAAAATGGTGATAAACAGTTAACAAATAGAGTCCACAAATTTTGCTTTTTGCAGTGTGAAGAGTTTATAACCTTTGGCTTGTTTTATTATGGCTTCTGAACTAATTCAGTAGTTAGCCTGGATGAAAACATTGGCCGACCCAGCTGATGTGTGTTTAATACACCCTTTCCCAAACTCTTCTTAGGCCTTTTGAGACAAGGGAGGGAAGTGCTGGGGTGTTTTCTTTCAGTGCTTGCCTGTGTCTCTGCTGCAAGTCATGGTCATGCCTGTCATTTTGCTTTCAGTGTGTGCTGACATCACATACTAGCTGCATGCAGCCTTTGGGTCAAGGAAGTGCAGGCCTAGATGCAAGAGTTGTTAGCAGGGCAGAGGTAGATGGCTCTGCAGCTCTCAGGAGGAGCTTTCCCAGCACTGCTGACCATGCTGTGGGCTGTTGTCCCAGCTGGAGCAAGACCTGAGGTGGGGTTCTTTCATCCCTTGCTGCGTCTTAGTCACAAGGCCTTATGTAATGGCTTGTAAAAGGAAGCTATCAGCCTCTGCGTGGGTGTGTAAATAACAGCCCTCTTTATCTTCTTGATCAATATTTTTGCCCTTCTGGTGTGGGTTTTTTTTTTTTTTTTTTTTTTTTAAGTCTTTTGAAGCTGCTTTGATTGACAAGGAGGGAGATTAGTGGAAGCACTGCCCCCTTTTCTTAGGAAGAGATGGGTTTTTCCAGGTGTGCTGGGTGCTAGGGTAGTCTGTCTTCCTGGGCGGGGAAGAATATTTTTATTGCTGCCTGAATGTGGTTGCTGTTGTCCACATGCAGTACCTACAGGCCTGTGCAATTCTATGACTGCTTAGAGAAAAGCCTGTAGTAACTGAGTGTCTGTTTCAGATCGATGAGCCTAATGCTGACAAAGATCCTTCTTCGGCACAGGTGTCTGGTAAGTGTGCCAGGAAGCATGGAAACTTGGGGTGACTTGGGTCTGTGATTGGCTTGGGATCCTAGTGTCCCTGGGAGGAATCTCTCCCTGCAGGGAACAACGTGTTGAACTTGATGCTTTGTGAAGCAGTCTCTGTCTGGGACTGGAGAGGACTGTGTCAGAAATGGAGAGCGCGTCCTCTCAGATGGGAAGGATCTGGACTTCCACTGGGAAACTAGAGCTTGACTCCAGCGATGGTACTCAGCCTCCAGCTTAAGCTGTCAAGCTAAATATAGGGAGTTGCAGGATAAGATGAATGTAACAGATTTAAGGGAGAGATGTATTTTTATATATGTGTAATACCTCAAAAATAGAAGATAAATAATCATATCCTGCAACTACAGAATGAAAGAAGTGAGCACTAAGTTAGATAATTTCAGTGTGGAGATTATCTATAGCAGGCCTAGTAGAGAGAGCTGTTATTGCTGTCTGCAGTTGCCTAAAAGGTTCTGAGTTAGGGTTCAGGCACCCTAACTGAACCATAACAAAATTCTCCGGTCTTAGACAATCTTAATTCTACACTGTATGCTTCAGAAATATTTGTTACTAGCTCTAGAGCTTGTTAAGGACAAAAGGGAAAAAAAAAAAGGAGTAAATAGAAATCCTTGCCAGAGCTGGCAAGGGTCTAATAGTTTAATGGAGTTGTCTGGAAAGGTGCTGTTGGTAACGAAGGCTGAAGGAGACAGATGACAAATGCTGAAGGAGGCTGGCCTGTGGGTACACCGGATGCTTCAGGTTGACAGATAAGGGCGTGTGGTAACTGCATCTCTCTTGGGGGTTTGGAATGCTGAGTCCCCCAGCTGCAGTCCAGCTGTGCTGTGTGCGTGGGAGCCTCAGGCCACCCTCAGCTGGTTAGCAGCAGGAGCTGGATCTGCTTTGAGGTGGTGCTGCCACGGGATAAGGGCGACCAGCCCGATCCACCATGACTGCGGCTCCTTGCAGCCGTGTAAACCCGGCGCCTTGTGGGTGGTTTTCTCATTTAGTAAGTGTAGTTGGAAGAGTGTGACTATTGGCCCTATCTACAAAACTGGTGCTGCCTTTTGATATTATGACCTTTCTTGTGCGGCTCTCGGTGTGATGACAGTCTAAAGATGAAGTTAAATGGTGTTTCCCTTATTTTTAATAGGGCCTGGGCCCAAGCCAGAGCCAACTCCAAAACCAAGAGCTGGAGTTCCTGATAGCTTTGAAAACTTTGTGTTGCCGGAATTGCCATCAGTGCCGGATACTCTGCCGACAGCATCTGCTGGCGCCAATTCTTCTGCCTCCGAAGACATTGACTTTGATGATCTTTCTCGGAGATTTGAGGAGCTAAAGAAGAAAACATAAGACTGCCTGGCCTGTAGCTCCAATGTGAGAGGCAGCAGCTGTGCCAGCTTTTACTCTCTAAAACACTACCCTAGAAATTGGTTTTCTGTATTAACTTAAAATGAATGCGCTCTTCTTTGAGCCCTCTTCCTGCTGTACTTACACCAAATGCTGCTGCTTTCCCAGTCTCTTTTGCTCCAGGAGGTGAACTGTGGTGGGATACTGTGAGACTGGAGCGGGGAACAGCTCCTATTAGTCTGGGTGGTTGTGTTCTACAGGAAAGCCAGTCCTGGCTGCCTCCACCTGGCTCTGCATTTCCTATTTCCTTTCATGGAGATGGAAGACGAAGGTGGGAAGGTGGCCAGACTCCATCCTCCTTGAGGGAGCATCACGCACGTGCTGCCCAGCTCCGCTTTCTGGCCCAGAGGGTGAGTTGTGAGTCGCTTCCACACAGCCCTGGACGTTTTGCATCACCCTGGCTCTTGGGCCAGCCCCTGGCTGCAGCTAGATCCAGGTGCAGTTTGCCAGAGAGGCTGAAGCTATCAGTCCCAGAGGATTGTCAGGGAGCCCTCCGTGGCCTTGGCCGTGTTAGCGAGGGAGGGCTCCTTCGCCTTTCGTGGGAAGGCAGGGCCGCGCTCTCTGCGCTGTGCGGCCTGCCCGGCGCCCGGGGAGCGCCTGCGCCAGGGCCCGGTGCTGGGTTCTCAGTCTGCCTTAAACAGCTGTGTGCTGAAGAGCCTGTGGAGAGCTGTGACTTGATGGGGGTCTGGATGCTTGGCAGTGACTTAGCTGCCCTCAAGAGCAGGGTCGGGGGGAAACCTCCAGCCTGGCTGCAGGCAGCGCTGTGCCTGTGACGCTGCCTCCTGGGCGCCTGCTTGTGGGGGGTGACTGCTGAACGGGCCTTGCTCTCTCCTCTGTAATGTATCTGTACATAACATTTTCACACAACTTTTCTTCGGAGGTTTTGATTGGTTTGTACCTTACAGACTAGCTCCTAATAAAGTTTACGAGTGGGAGCTGCTGGGGCAGTGTGTGCCAGGCTCTTCCTTCCTCCTTTGCTGAGGCTGTGGGGAGGAGCTGGGAGGGAGCTTGGGCCGCTGCTCCAGCAGCCTCTGTACGAGGGGGAGCTGCTGGGGCAGTGTGTGCCAGGCTCTTCCTTCCTCCTTTGCTGAGGCTGTGAGGGGGCCTGGGGTGGAGCTGGGAGGGCGCTTGGGCCGCTGCTCCAGCAGCCTCTGCTCAGACCTGCGCTCCTTGGAGCTCGTTAAAGCTCCGCGGTGCAGCCGGGACGGGGGGAGGGAGGGCCAGGCAC